GACTTTTGTTTCTTGATCTGTTGGAGACCACTACAAAGTGGCTCTGAGCAGGATTTAATATTAACCAATTGGCTTTCCATGTTCACTTGTGAATCTGTCCAAGACCTAGGCTTAGTGAACCTCTGTAAATCACTAATCCCTACCAGAACCTATAGTGGTGGACAAGCCAGAAAGCCTCAAAGACAAGACAAGATCACAGCCAAGGACACCTGGGTCAGATCTCAACTAGATGAAAACTATAGCCTCAGGGATCTCATTCTTCAGAGGATTAACTTCTTACCTTACTTAGAGAAGTCCTTGAGTGGTTCTGCCCTTCTTGAGTACTCCCCTCCCTTCTTCTGATAACCAAATAAATATGGGTGATCCAGAAAAAGTCTTAGCCCTGAGAGAATCTTGAATTATGTGAGAGGGCTTTGATCTTCCTGGGGCCCTGAAATCATTCCATTTGCCTCTTTTTATTTAGCATTCATCTTACACTCATTCAGGAGATTGTGAACCTGATCAGCCTGCAATAACTAAGGGATATTATTAACCCCATATTGATCCACTCCACCAATCTGTCTGTGTCTTTTGATTGAAGAATTTAGACCATTTACATTGAGAGTTATTACTGAGAGGTATTAAGTTGTTCCTGTCACTATGTGATTTTCCTGTTGCTCATTTCTTTTTCTTTCCTTTTGGTTAACTGTTCATCCTTCTAGCTATATTCATTCTTTTGGACTTACTGGCATTGTTGCCTTCATTATTTCTAAGATATCATTGAGAATTTTTTGTAATGCTGGTTTAGTGGTCATGAATTTCTTGATGTGCTTCCGTTGTGGAAATACTTTGTCAATTTTGAAGGAAAGTTTTGTAGTATACTGAAGTCAGGGTTGGAAATTGTTATATTTTAGGGCATGAAACACTTTGCTGCAAGCTGTTTTGGCCTTTATTTAAGGTTTGTGTTGAGAAGTCTGCTGTAATTCTAATAGGTTTGCATTTAGATGTGATGTATTGCCTGTTCTGTGTGTTTGTTTTTTCCTTTTTGAGACAGGGTCTTGCTGTGTAGTTCAGTCTGGCCTTCAACTCACTGTGGAGCCCAGTCTGGCCTTGAACTTGTAGTGTTCCTTCTGCCTCAGCCTCCTCAGTGCTGCACTGGCTGGTGTGCATCACCATGCCCAGGTCATGTTACCTCTTAATGGCCTTTAAGATTTTGTCTCTGATAGACTTGTGGTGCTTTTGAGTATAACGGCAGAGAGGGGTTCTCTTTTTCATTATGTCTGTTTGGGGTTTTATATGACTTGTCTGTACATTTCTTTCTTTATATTTGGAAAGTTTTCTGCCCTATTTCTGTGAACAGGTTTTTATGTCATTTGTGTTGTCTTCTCATTTTTTTTCACTTACTCTAATTAGTCTTTGGTTAGTCTTGTGTCATCTAGTAGCTTGATAGGTCCATTTTTAAAATTTTCTTGTTGCTTTTAAGATGTCTTTGAATAGTTGGTCTTTGAAGGCATTTTGGTTTCCTGATTTTGAAATTCTGTCCTCACATTGGTTACTTCTGCTACCTGTACCTTCAATTTAATTTTTAATCTCTGGGACTTCTGATTGAAACTTTTTCATGGATTCTACTTCTTTGCTAAACTGATTGTTTATGTTTTGTATTATTTCGCTCATCTAGTTTTTTATTTTACCTTAGAACCTTGGATCATTTTGGTTATTACTTCCATTAGCTATTTAGGTATCTCTTCTATGATCCCATTGAGTACCTCTTTGATCTGTTTTCTAACTTCTGTTACCCTTTTGAGTGCTTTGGGTGTGTGGCTTGTGGCATTCTTTTCCTTCACCCCCACCCATTCACTGAATTGGCTTTGGGGATAGTTGGGAGTTTTGAAAGGCGTTTTGTTGCCTTGTCTGCTCTTATTTCTACTGTTTTTATGTTGGTTTTATGCTAGGGTTTGTGGAAGCTTATCATGTAAAGACTTTGCCAGTATAAAGATTTTTTTTTTTTTTAGTCTTTTTGAGACAGTCTCACTATGCAGTTCAGGCTGTCCTTGAGCTCACTTGGTAGTCCAGGCTGGTCTCAAATATGCAACAGTCTTCTTGCCTCAGCCTCCGGAGTACTGGGGTTACAGGAGTACACCACCAAGCCTGGCTTAGAGGTCTGTGTAGTTGATTTTGTTCATTATTTGTAATATGGGTTTCTCATATGAGAGAAACTATGCAATACTTAAACTTAAGTGTCTGATTTATTTCCCTTAGCATTATGGTCTCAAGGTACTTCCTTTTTCTTAAAAATGACTCAACCGTATCTTTTTCATGGCAGAGTGGTACTCAATTGTATGTATATCACATTTTCTTTTATATGTTCATCTGATGATGGACGTAGAGGCTACTTTCAAGTTTTAGCTGTTAGGAATTGTGCTACTATAAACATGGGTATGCATGAATCACTATAATATGATGTCTTAACTGTTTGGGGGAGATAACTATGTGTGGAATAGCTGAGTCACATGGAATTTCTAGTTTTAGCTTTCTGAGGAATCTCCGTACTGATTACCATGGTGTTGTACTGAAATTTGAATTATGGAAAATTAATATGTGAAACTGAAACTTTATAAAATACTCTCTGCATTTTGTTTAGACCAGCATGTTTTGGAAATTTGATCTTCACTCATCATCCCACATAGACACACTTCTAGAAAGAGAAGATGTAACACTGAAGGAGTTAATGGATGAGGAAGATGTTTTACAGGAATGTAAAGCTCAGAACCGCAAACTTATAGAGTTTCTGTTAAAAGCAGAATGTCTGGAAGATTTAGTCTCATTCATTATAGAAGAACCACCTCAAGACATGGATGAAAAAATCAGATACAAGTAAGAAAATTCAATCTTCTCTTTAGGGTGGGACAAAGTGAAGTGGGAGTAGATGATAGACCTTGGTAAGACTCCTGTAGAGTCACTATAGTTGTTGACAGAATGTTTGAGAGTGACAGTCTCAGTGGGGCACATAGTCCATTCAAGAACTAAGTCTAACAAATCACAGGAGTCTAAAAGTGATTTTTGCATTTCAGTCAGAAGGTTTTGTGGAAGGGCAGCATGTTTTTAAACAGTGATGTCCAGTTTCTTTAAATAGTAAGACACTTCAGGTATCTTCCCCACTTTACAGATAGAAAGCCAGAGATTGTGTGACAGCCCAAGACGGCACAGCATACCTGACTTGGAGTTTGCGTTCTGAAGAGCATTGTTGATACAATAAGTTTACCTTCTGTTACCTGCAAATTAGAGCATAAGTCTTGGTGAACATTAGCAAAGCTGTATTTAAATAGGTGATACCATGCATAACTACAGCGGATTTATCTACTCATTACTAGTTTAATCTGCTTACAAACAGTGTCATAGCACAGTGAGAATCTTTTATCACCATCGCTTATAACACTTTCTATATATACTCCTGGTAGCCCTTTGTTGTGAGCACTCCATAGGTGTGTTCAGTGTCAGGGTTTTGGTTACTTTTCCATCTCTTAACTGTTGAAATGGCTGATACACCTGCCCCCACCCCCAAGAAAGTAGAGCAACTTGTTTTTTAAGAGTAGGAAAATTTATTGGAGAATAGGAATGGGGAATTGGAATAGCTCCTGAGGGCTGGGGATACAGCTCAGTGGCACAGCACCTGCCTGGCAAGCATGAGGTAGTGAGTTCAATTCCCAGTAACAAAAAAAAAAAAAGAAAAGAAAAGAAAAGAAAAACAAATAAGGAATAGCTCCTGAGAGATAGGAGGGGTCCTAAATGAGTTGCCCAATAGAGCAACTTCTGAACAAAGTTTTGTTAATGCATTAAGTACACTTAATGGAATAAGGAGTCATAGCCTTTTAGTTGTTATTCCTTTTCCCTTCCTCCTCTAACCATCTTTTCAGATTTCTGTTCTTTTCCTCTTGGGGAGAACTATGCTCTCAAGGAACTAATATTTGTTAATGCCTTCAGATTACTGTTGGCTTGCATGTTCAAGGATGTCATAGTCTCTGCTGGCCATTAAAATTGACACCTAGTCTTTAGTGAAAGCCTTCACTCAGAACAGTGCCTTAGAAAAGAAGGAAGAAAGAAATAAAAATACTAACATGCTCCCATCCCCCAAAAGATAAGATACTCTGCTACTTTGGAATTCTATCCACGGTGAATTAGCACGTACAGGAGTGCATGAGCCTGCCCACCTGGGAGGGTTGTACACATCCTGTTAGACGGGGTCTGAGAACTTGGGCAAATGGCTTATTCTTCCTCATGTGCTGAACAAAACTAAGAGTTGTGTAACTGGGGAAGAGTAGATATTCTTTATGTGAAGTGCTTACTTTATAAGAAGAAATGACACCTCTCCTCTACCCGAGCCCCCCTGATTATGACACATGATAGGATCTGCAAGTTTGGTGGTTATGTTGCTTTATCAGTGTTTTTGTGCTGCTCTGGATGCATAGCATCTTGGATTTCTGGATGGCACCATTTGGAAGGAGTATGATTTGAGTTGGACTGAGAAGTACTCTGCATCTTGTCCAAGTAGAGCCATCACAGAATGTAACCTACCTGGGAGGATCCAAACACGTAGATCAGCACAGAGACATTTTTCAGGTGGGATTTGAAACCTTTTCAGCCAGATATGGTGGCACATACCTGTAATGCCAGCATTCAGGAAGCTGAGGCAGGAAGATTGTTGTGAGTTCGAGGCCAGCCTGGGCTACAAAGTGAGCTTAAGGCCAACCTGAACTGCATAGTGAGACCCTGTCTCAAAAAGACCAAAAAAAAAAAAGGAAAGAAAACTTTTCAGGATTAAGATAGACTGTAGTCATCCAAAAAAATTTAGGATTTTATAGTTTTGGGATGGTGACAAGTGGTAGCTGTATTGGGGTGAATCAGACTAAAAAATAAACCCGTAGTTTATCAGATGAGGTCTCTGGAGACAGTACATATGTTAAGATAGGAACTGCTGAAGGTTGTGGGGTGGGAAGAGGGAGTTCAGGAAAAGACCTTATTAAACAGTTCCCATTTGGTCAGAGCCATGCAGGAAATGGGGGGTGGTGCCATGTGGATACTTGGCAGGGAAATTCTAGGCAGAGGGAAGAGCAAGTGCAGAAGCCCTAAATTGTTCCCTAGGAAGAGCAAGACAACCAGAGAAAGGTCAGCCTTGTGAATGGAGGAGAACAGAAGACAGGACCGAGGTTGAAGTCAAAGTGGCTCAGAAACAGGCCACACAGAGCCTGATTGGCTCAGTTGGGACCTTCCCAGTAGGGGATAGAAACTGTCAAAGGATTCTGAGCAGTGGGTGACATTGCCTGACTTTATTTTCTAGGATCACTCTATCTGTTCTGGGGCTGTTGACAAGGAGGGTGGGAGGAGAAGTGACTGCAGTGAGCACTACTGAAAGAGAAGAGTTGAGTGGCCCAACAGGTTGTAGATGTGTTAGATGAAGTTAGAACTGAAAGGGTGTGGCCTAAGAGAAGAACAGTCAAGAATGATTGCCAGAGTTTTGACCTGAGCATTTGAGGGGTACCGTGGCGTTATAGCCCTGAGAATAGATGCCAGAGAAATGTTAGGTGTTTGGCTTTGGCTCTGTCAAGTTTGAGATGCTTGATTGGTGTCAAATGGAGATGAGAAGTAGAAGGTAGATGGGGGAAGCTCTGCCTTGAGGCCGGGTGAGATCACCTGTAGAGGGCTTAGGCAGATGGCAGCTGGGAGCAAAGGCTCAGCGGCTGGAGATCTGGAACCTGTTGGCTGGACAGAGTTCCACATAGGGATTGAGGAGTGGCCAAAGGCAAGAGCAAAACCAGGAGGTGCCACCACCTTGAAAGTCATAGAAGACAGGCTTCAGAAATGAGAATGGGACAGGGGTTGGCTGCTGCTAACAAGAAACCCCTGAGTGCACCATATAGCATTATGGGCATGGTTGCTGCAGCTTCTTTGGAGTGCTCAAGGAGAAAGCCTGGCTGGACAAGAAGTGTAAGACAAGCGGAAACTACTCTTTCATATATTTTTGGTACAAAAGGAGCAGAGAATGAGTGGTAGATCAAAGCAGATGGGGAGTCCGTGGAGTTTGTGTTGTTTTTCTAAATGGAAGAAATGATGGTCAGTGTGTATGCTGGTAAAAGTGGTACCCACCAAGGCTGTGGGCTGTATCTATTGGTACTCTGCATTGGAGCAGGTGGGAGGGAATAAAATTGAGAGGACAAGTGGAATGTAGCCTCAGGAGCAACGGTGATCCCCTTGAGTAAAGAAATGAGGGTCCCAGGTGCAGGTCGGATATGGTAGGGCTGGGTTCCCTGGTTGCTTTTGTGTTGCCAACACAAGGGAGCAAGATGGGGAGAGGGGTCTTGCTGAAGGTTGGCGTGGAGGGCACCTTTGGGTGTTTTAGAGATTTACTGAATGGTACGGAAGGAGGGAGAGAGAAAGTAGCTCCAGCCTGTCTGGAACCAGATATTGGCCTTCCATATAGTGCCTAGGCTCCACAATATCTGCTTCTTGAGTAGCCTGTACCTGCAACTCATCCTTGGAATGTAAACTATTTATTTATTTATTTATTCATTTATTCATTTATTTATTCATTTATTTTTTGTCTTTTTGAAACAGGGTCTCACCATGCAGTTCAGGCCGGTCTTAACTCACTTTGTAGCCCAGGTTGACCTCAAACTCACAACAATCCTGCCTCAGCCTCCCGAGTGCTGGGTTTACAGGCGTGCACCACAGTGCCCGGCTGTAAACAGTTTTAAAAGTTGTTCTGCCCTGCTCACAAATCAGAACACACTCATGTATTGGTTCACCACTGGGATTGAGTTGTCTGCCATTTACTAAGCCTTTATTAGCCAACAATTTTCACATTGATAACGATTGAGGCATTGTGTCACCCCAGCCCCTTCCAGCAGGAAGTATAAAGAGGAATGCAAATAGCTATCACTCATTAAGCACTTTTTGCCAGAGCCTCTTCCCAGTGTTTGCATGTTTTACCCTTTTCCAAAAGACAAAGACTATTTTTGTCTTCTTTTTATGAACCTGGAAACTGAAGCACAGAGAGGTTAAGTAACTTGTCCAAAGATACACAGCTTGGTGAGGAGGATTTAAATCTAGATAATGTAACTTGGTGTACATCTAACCCTGTATTCCTCCATCTCTGGGATAATGGTTATTTTATAGGAGTTTCTGTTATGGCATCTTCGAGCACCTAAGGTAGATAAAGTGAGAGGGGCTTTGGGTAAACCAGAAGCCTGCACAAGATAGGTATTTGGTAATGTGATCTTCATGCCTACACATTTGCCAGTCCTGTTTTCTTTCTTTTCACTCCTCCTCCTACAGATTCATTTTTGGACATTGTTATATTGTGGTCTCACCCCAGACCCTCTCAGGTGTTGTGGCTTTCTGTATGTTGCCTGTTGTGCCTGAGCCAGGGGTTTCATACCAGGCAGCCACCTGCTTGCCTTGGATGCCTCCAAGTGTGTCACATACATGCTTCCCTACAGTCTTCACCTCTTGTCATTGGGCTGTTTCCTTACTTTCCTATCCTGGTCAGCATTTGAGCTTGCTACTCCTGGTGACTAGTTGGGGCTGTGACTCCTGGCTGCCTGATAAGGAGCAATGTTGGCTCAATGAGGTGAACTGTGGGTGAGACAGAGTATTGTCTGGGGAGGACTTGGATCTCCACTTGACTGTTGAAATAGTGAGAAATGATGATAAAATGAGTCAGTGGGAATGATGGAGCTGCTGCCAGATTTTCAGAGTGGGTAGTCTCATCAGAGGCACACAGGCTTGAGTGATATAGGTATTTCTAAAACTGAAGGGTTTCTAGAAGAGCTAAGGGATACATCCAGAGCAGACACCTTGCTGCTTTCTGTTGGCCTATATCCTACAGAGTGGAATCATAGAGAATAAGGACAGTGGACTGATGTTCCTACTAGTCCCAAAAGATGGACAGTGTGGAGAGCATACTTTTTTGTGTATAGCTTCCCCCCTCAGATAACTCAGGCTCATGTCCTTTTTCATTCCTTTCATATATTAGGATGTTTATTCTGTTAAGATATAATGTAGATTGGACACTTGATAGCTTATCAAAACAACTTTGTAATACCATTTGAAGTGAATCTAAAAATAGAAGTAGCTGGTCTAGGGGCCTATAGTGTAACGGTGTACAGCACAGTTTCCTGGAAACCAGTGTCCCTCTCAGTTGTCTTGCATACTGTGCCACTGTTGTGCCAGAGTAGGCCGATGGTATCTTTTCCTCTAGCCTCTGCCCTCCTTGGTAATTGTGAAGGCCTGTCCCTATGGCAGGACCTCCCTGGGCTCTTGAGTCCTTGGTGTGCCCTAGTTTCATTGGGAAAATATTATTAAACTTAGTTTAAAAACTTTTTAAAAGCAAAGTAGAAAATTCATTTTAAACTAGAGGTCAACAGCATGGATTTTAGTGATTTTCTAATCCCCAATAGATGATTTGGTTGCTTTAACAAAAGTTTAGGAACTCTTCCTCACTTGTGTTTTACATTATGTAATTAAACTGTCACTATAGATGATGATGTACTATCCTGTTCTTCTAGGTATCCAAATATATCTTGTGAGTTGCTCACTTCTGATGTCTCCCAGATGAATGATAGACTGGGAGAAGATGAATCCTTGCTAATGAAATTATATAGCTTCCTCCTAAACGATTCCCCCTTGAACCCACTACTTGCCAGTTTCTTCAGCAAGGTGCTAAGTATTCTTATCAGCAGAAAACCAGAACAGGTAAATATTGTTTACCAGAAGGTAAGTATCAGGGCTGATTACCCCAAGATGGTCCCCAGGACTGTTGTTGTAGTCTTCTGAGTTTACCTTAAGTCCAGGTTCTATAAAATAATATATTTCAATTCTTAAACATTCTAAGCACTCACCATATTTATACATTAGTGAATATTTTTCACATGGCATATTCAAAGTGCCTCAAATCTCAATTTGTTAGCAAACTTTGTTTTCCTCATTTGACAAGTAATTGGAAGCACGAGCATATCGGGCATTTGTGAAGATAAGCCTTGTGACACAAAACCAAGCAGTTGAGTATGTGAACAGCGTCCTAGTGATCCTGGGTATCAAACAGATGCTTTGCTTTATTTTTCCCCTTAATGATCACAGATGAAGCTTAAAGCTTACCCACAAAGGGAACTGATGTTTGGTTTGTACAAATGGTGATTCTATTTTGAATCTACTAGAAACTTAAATGTTAGCTTGAGATACCTGGATATAGATGATCATATACATGTGTAGCTCTGCAGTCCGATCCACTAGTACCTGTCAGAAATCCATACTTCACTGTTCTGGTAGCAGCTGCCTCTTTCTCCTCGTTTCTTCTGTTACTCTTGTCTCTGTCTGTCTGTCTGTCTCTGTCTGTGTTTTCGTCCCTTTTTTCCTTCCTTTGTTCTTAATTCAAGTATACTCAGGAAGACAATTTCCCAGATATCTCATACCTTACATGCAGTGGTTCTGGCAGCATCAGTACCATCTGAAAATGTGTTAGCAGTGCACACTCTGGAGTCTTTCCCCAGACCTAGCAAATCAGAAACTCTGAGGGTGAAGCTCAGTGATCCGAGTTTTAAGCTCGCATTCTAACTCCCTCTGTTGCATGCTAGAATTTGAGAACTACTGTTACAGTGGATGCTGGTGTGAAGAAGGAGCTGCTTACCAGGAGATTATAATCAATTTATGGAAATAGGTACCCAGGGAACAACTAGAGCCTCAGATGGTCAAGTACAGTCTGTGACAGACTTGTCAGAGTTGCAATAAACAGGGGCGTGATGACTTAGGGTGACAGAGTTCAAACTTGCAGGGCCTGGCATCCTTTATGGTGGAAAACAGGCTCCTGTGACCTGCCCTTGTTATCAGCACAGGGGACTAGAACTATTTTGGGCCCAGTATGTTCTGTCTCATGCCAAGGCAGAGTGGATACACACTCTATTTTAAAAGGCTGATTTTTTTTTTTTTTTTTTTTTTAATGCTTGTAATCAAGTAGGTAATTTCCCTAAGTGTTTTAGAAATAAGATTCTTTTCTCTTATATGATAATAATACCCAATTCATGGTTTTTAAAAATAGATTGCTGGGCATGGTGGCACATGCCAGTAATCCCAGCACTTGGGAGGCTGAGACAGGAGGATTGCTGCAAGTTCAAGGATAGCCTGTACTACATAGTGAGTTCAAGGCCAGCCAGAACATCTTCCATTTTTTCCTTCTGTTTAGATATAAAAGTATTGATAGCTATTTTAGGAGAGTATAAGTCATCCCATCATCTCAATACCAGTTAGTTCTGAGATGGTTGTGGCCATGGTTGAGACGTTATGTGTCATTATGATTTCTCTCCTCACATCTGTGCTTTTGGAACCCAGATTTATGAGCCATGATTTTAAGTATATATATGATACAGAGCAAGAATACACCTCAGACTTTTCTGGAGCTCTGAGTGTTTGTCTTGGACCTAAAAGTCAGAGTGTATCATAGTGATGACACATGTCATTTGGGTACCCAGGATGAGAGCCCCATGAGCCTGTTGCTCACACTTCTTTGTTCTGAACTCTGGATGGTAATGAGAGGATACACTCCCTTCCTCTTTTAGCTATAGAGAAAGGCCAAACTTGGTTATAAGTATAAAGGTTTCCTATTATATACTAGTTAGGCAACAGCCAAGTAATGAAAAAATTGTTTTAAGTGGCTTAGCCAGTGAAGGTATTTGTTATCCCATAGAGTAGGGAGTCCAGCTGTAGGGCGTCTTTAGTGTCACGTAGTTTAGTCCCTCAGCAGTGTCATTCATAGCACAGGGCTTGTCCTTACTGTCCTGTCGACAGCACTGGCTGATGTTTTGTACCTTTAGGCTTTAGAGTCAGTGTTTCTGCTATTGAATTGTGGAATATTTTGGTCACATGTGGCTTTTTCCTCTTTTTTCTTCTGTCCTTTGAAAAACTATTGGACTCAATTGTGAGTGGAATAATTACATCATTTCTTAATGGCTGTGTCATAATACTTAGCCTTTTTGTCTAGAGAAGTGATGTACAGTGGTTAGTCTTGTGTTTATACCTAATTGTGTGAAGCAGTTCTAAGTTGTCATTTTTGACTGTTGAACTTTTTATATGGGATAATAGAAAGCCTATGGCTTTTGAAACATGCAGATCTGAATTTAAATTCCAAGGCAGCCACCTTTTAACTCTATAAGATACTTAACTGTCTGAGCCTTAGTTTCTCATCTGTAACATTGGTATATTCAGTCCCCACCTTTCAGGGCATAGTGAAATTCTGTGACAGCAGCTGCCACGCTGGCCATGCTGCTTTCTGGGACATGTGGGGTTTGGATAGATGATGGGTGCACACAGACAAATCAGAAGGCACATGAAGCTGTGCAGCAAAGAGCGACCACCCTCTTCTTCCAGTGCAGAGGAGACCCAGGGCAGAGTCCTCCTTTCCATTGCTATTTCACCCTCCCTCGGCGTGGCTCTCAGCCTCTTCTTCCACCAGTCACCCTTCTTGTGTTAATCAGGTGAATTGCTGAAATGAAAGCCAACTCACCTTTGTCTAGCAGGTGAGTTAGTTACTTTGAAGTAGAAATCTTTATGTTTTGAATTTTTTCTTAGTTGCTAGAGTATTATCAGGATTTTGAATATTCTACTTTCTAATGGAATTGTTTTATGTCCATAAACTATAAAATGGTGTAGTCTCTTATTCTTTATAGGTTTGTTAAATTTTTAACTCCCATTCCTTGAGAATTAACAATGAAGATGAAAAAGAAAAAATACTTTGTCATGTTGTATTTATATTAGGGGTGTGTGCTCTTTGGGGAGGTTTTTTTCCTAAGGGATTTTTGAATGTTGTAGCTATTAGCCAGAACTATTCAATTTAACATTGAATTACTAATTCAGCACCTGCCTTTCCTCAACTTCAGGTAGTGGTAGAGTTTTGAAGGGGGTGGTGGTCAAGATTTGAAACATTCTAAAATTTGTACTTTACAAGTTATATATCTTTCAGCTTTTTACTTATTTATTTATTTTTGCCCTCTAGATTGTGGATTTCTTAAAGAAGAAACATGATTTTGTAGACCTTATAATAAAGCATATAGGAACTTCAGCTATTATGGATTTGTTGCTCAGGCTCCTGACATGTATTGAGCCTCCACAGCCCAGGCAAGATGTGCTGAATGTGAGTAGAACTCTGACCTGTTGTTGATGGGAGGTGGGGCTGTTGGTATGTGGGCTACTGGGCTGCTTTGTGCTGCGGGGTAGAGAGGTGGAGATTGCATGAGATTTAGGTTCATATCAAAGGGCTTTCTAGGGGATTTAAGGGAATCAGGGAAGTTGTTCAAATTTAGAAGAGGTTCAGTTTTCCAAAACTAGGATTCAGGATGTTCACATTACTAGGTCTACGGGATGTTGTGAGTAGTTCCTCCTCTTTGCTGGTTTGTTTTTTGTGAGAACGGTGAAGTAGAACGGATTAAGGATTTGTCGCAAATTATTGGGTCTAGTTGTAAGTTACTAGAAAAGTAAAAAGGCTGGGACCTCTAAATCTCATCTGAATATGCCCTGAAGCTTTCCTCAGAGGAAAGGACTGCCTCTGAAAGTCAGAATGGAGAGTTGTACCTAGGAGCGAGGGAAGAGGAGTAGAAAAGAAGTTACATGGAAAGAGACGTATTATTAAATTTAGAGAGATTGTGATTTTAGGGTGTATGCCTTTAGAGTAGATCGATAGATAGATGGAATTGGTTCTGGATGTGGGGAATGTGTGAATGTCCTGCAAATAGGGCTTGTCATGTGTACCTTTTCTTTTTGTTGTGTCCCTTCTACCTCACTACCCCCTGTCTGAAACCATTCCATATCTATTCTATCTGTAATCCAGGAAACCTGAAACCTACTTGTCTCTTTGCAAATGAGTTTGGTTAAAAATGCTAACTGTAAAGACAAAGGGTACCGGAGAGACAGGAGAACCTGTCAAACAATATCCAAACTAGGCACATTCTGCTGAGCTGGGCAGGCCTGCATCTGTGTGACCCATTATGAAGAAACCAGCTGAGTGCACCTAGTGGCCTTTAGGTAGAGTCCTTAAATTGAGACATCCAGGTTTTTTTAGGTGTTTTTGTAGAGTTTGCTCAAGAGATTCAGGATTCTGGGAGACTGTTGAGGATAAGGAGGGTAGTGGGTCCCTTTTATGTTTGGATTATTATGGCAGGGGGATTATTTAGTATGTTTTGGTATAATGGATTTATTCCTTTGGTCACCTCTGGGGTTAGGTTTTAGCGCCCATTTCCAAGGAAATAGATGTGCTTCTGAAAAGAAAACAGTGGTGGCTAATAAAGGAATAGGTCAGAAGAAGTTAGAAACTCTGATGTCTTACTTTTATTTTGGGGATCTACAATATGGAATTAGCTCAAAAGTAGGCTTGGAGTGTGAGTCCTTCTCAGTAGCTGTGGAGAGGGTAGAGGTCCTAGGACCTATCAGTTCACTACTTGCACAGTTTTCTGGCTTCTCCCATGTTGATCAGGATGCCCACTCCCACACAGATGTTTATTATTTTATGTTTTAGGACACTGTCACTCAGTTTGATCTCAAACCTTACTGATGGGTTTGTTGTAATCTCAGATCTCACCTGTTGCCTACTGAATCAGAATCTGCATTTTAACAAAATTTCTGATTGATTGATGTTCACATTTAAAAATTTAAAAATCATAATTGATATAGTCCCTTTAAGGAGCCAGAGATGGCATTAGGTCTTTTCCATGTGTGTAGCAAATTGTGTTTGATCCTCCCCCTTACCACCAAGTCTCTTACCTTCTTTAACCTTGGAGATTTTTTTTTAGTGGCCTTTTTATATAGCAAGTTTCCTTATTTATTATGGTTCATCAGTCCCTTTAGAACTAATATTAAGCCGACTGGTTTTTCCTTAATTTTTCTTATCAATTCCTTTGATAGTTTTATTCACTGCATTTCATACAGAGATCAAGAAGAGATTGCTATATTTTTTTTTTTTTTTTTTGGTTTTTCTCCGGTACCGAGAACCGAACTCACGACCTTGCGCTTGCCAGGCAGGCGCTTTTGCCGCTGAGCTAAATCCCCAGCCCCGATTGCTATATTTTTTATACTGTAATAATTTTTTGCCAACATGTCAGGGCAAGTATATTTGCTTCCAGCATGGCTCCATGAAGTGGATTTGATTTTGGAGTCTACATGTCTCTTTGTTTGTCCTGTGCCCAGCTGGGGTGTGTGTGTGTGTGTGTGTGTGTGTGTGTGTGTGTGTGTTTTAATACAGGGGTTATGCTAAGTATTGTTGTTCTCAGTTCTGTTGAAACTCAGAGCACAACATACTGTTACCAAAAGTGTATATATTCCTTCTTAATGCCCCTTGCCCAACCTAAGTCAGATACTTGGAGTACTGAACATCTGGGAGTTAGGTTGTGGCCAAGCGACTGTTGTATAGAAATTTAGTATGTGGTACTGTAATTTGGGGAGTTATTGGTACCCTTGGTCACTTTAATATATTCACTGGAATTTTCCTTGGGAAACTTTTAATTTTCTGTAGTGTTCAAAGTGCAGAGAAACGTGTAACATTCTACTTAAAATGTGATGGATATTTCCAAGTATGTTAATCTTCATTGGGTCTTGAACAAGAGCCACTCATTGCTATGATTACTTCTGAAATGTGTTTTACAGTGGTTAAATGAGGAGAAAATTATCCAGAGGCTTGTGGAAATAGTTCATCCATCGCAAGAAGAAGATGTAAGTTGTCTTGTGTAATTGTAAGTTTTATTTTAAGAAAGAACTATGTTTATTTGAGCACAGACATACTTGTGTAGCTGTGCAGGTGATGAGAGAAGATAGGTAGAACGGTGATAGTGTGTGTTCTTGAGTTGGCAGTCTTCTAAACAGTATTACACACCCAGAAAATTACCAGAAGTGTGAGGCAGGAGGCTCTTGGGTTCCACACTGTCTCCTTCCAGAACTAGGATTTTATGCTGACCCTGCCTACCTTTTCTACAAATTGCTATCCACACTTACGATGTGGCCACATCTGCATTTGTGTTTTCTGCTCTGACAAAAGCGTTGCAGACTGCACAGCAGGATCTTGGTCATAGCTGAGCCCCCATAGTGACTTGGTTGTATACTTCCAGGTCCTGGCCTTTAAACTCCAACAGGTTTGGCCTTTGCCCTGGGTGCTAACCATTAACTTGGCAATGGGATTGAAGCTGAAGTTGGAGGTTACAGCCTGAGCCCTGTGATAAGGGGTTGCCTATCAAGACAAATGGGTATGTGTTTCTGAGGTCTGTAAGGTTGTCACTTCAAGTGCCAGGCCAAGCCTTATGATGTTGCCTTGGTACACCTTTATTATCTGCAGACATGGCATTCCTGTGTGGGTCAACCTCATGTCCACAAAGAGATTGGTTTAAGAGTAAAAAGGGTGTGTTTTGCAGCCTGAGGTTCTCCTTTATACACCTCTCGGTTGCAGGATAGAAGGGAGAGTTAAGCACAGTGGAGGAGTAGAGTAAAAGAAGTGTGTGGCCAGAGGATACTCACTTTCTAAGTGTGAATTTTCTGTGGACGTGCATCTGATCTTTTTTCATTCAAAGCCTATTGGTACCTGGAGTGTATCTAAAGTGGGCTTTTATAGGGGGTTGTCACTTTCTCCTCATTCCCTTTTGAGACAGTGTAGTCCATGCTCCGTTGCAACAGTTGTTATGGTTGCCAGAGCTGATGTTCTTCATGCATCCCCAGGGTATGTCTGTAGTGGGTGCTAAGGGAATACTTGCACCCCTGTCTAGAAAGAGCTCTCAGGCTAGTTGAGGTGCTAAGTCCCCCTGTGGCCAGGGGAACACTGTCGTTCCAGAAGCACAGTGCCCATATGCTACATATTTGGCCACTACAGAGTATGATGAGCAATGCTGTGAGCAGGGCGTACCCCATTTGTGAATGGTAAATGTCTACAAACAAGACTTGCTCCTCACTAGGTTCATTTTCTTGAGCACAGCTTGATTGCATAACAAAATGTTAGACCTCTCTGCAAGGTCCTGGAGAAATCAATAAAGGAGAAGACCAGTTCTGCAGCAAAGTTTTTGAGGAAGACAAAGCATTGTGGACATGAACCTTTTCCCTACTTGACTTAGAAGAAACTTGACTGCCTTTTGGAAGGAAGTCCTATTGATACTACTGTTCTGTATTAAATGATAAGTTACATACTAAAACTATAGTGCAAGTGAATACTCATTAAGGAAATGTTAGGCTCCTGATTCTAGTCAGTGACTGGATACTCTGGTATGTGTTGCTGTCTCCGCTGGAGGATGCTTTTGCTCAGGCTTTGAGTTCAGCTGTTTATACACAATCTAATGAATGTGGACAGTGAGGTTTCAGAGCTGTCTTACGAGGCAAATCCAAGCCATACCACCAGAGGACACTGTTTCTTAGCCACTGCTATCTTCTACAAAGCTGTATATGCTGGGGAGGTGGGGTTGGGGAGTTGTTTTTTTAAGCCAGTGTATCTGTCTATGCTGATAGGAGTATATTTTGGGGATATGTTCTTTTCAATATTGTAGAAATATTTCCTTGTCAGAATTTTGATCATATCTCCCTACACATAGTAAGATACACTGTACAGTATTGTGAAGTAAATTTCATTATTAGCCTGGAAGAATAAAAGGCTTCTTACTTGTTTTGGGCGTAACTGCTCACTGATATTTATGGCCACTGTTTGTATTATGTCTTAAATACTTTCCTCCTTCAATTTTTTTTTATAAAGGTAACTTGTAACAAACTTTATAGCTGAAATTGTTCTTTCTCCTTTAGCGGCATTCAAATGCCTCACAGTCACTTTGTGAAATTGTTCGCCTGAGCAGAGACCAGATGTTGCAAGTTCAGAACAGTACAGAACCAGATCCTCTGCTTGCTACTCTAGAAAAGTATGTTTAAAGTTCTATTCTTGTTTTTCTCATTAATGCTGTTTGGTGTGTTACTTTATGAGTGATTGGTAAATGAAGTGTTCCCAGTATGGATGTCGTGCTACCACCCTGTGGGTGGTGTGAATGGGGAGAAACCTGTTTACCTTCTCACAGCATCTGTGACATGGGAGGAAGACTGGTGGAAAGAAGGTGAATGAGTAACGTTCATCTGTAGACCCATAGAGTGGACTTGTGTGGAATCATCCGAAGATGGGATTGTCTCATCCCAGCTGTGTTCAACACCTGCAAGGGACTTCCGGTGGAGAATAGTCTTGTGTATCTGTGAATTTGACCTATTTTAGTTGGCTTGTTTTTCAGAAGATCTTTCTAGGATGTTTATTTTTGCATCTGACAAGGGGCAACCTAAACAGATCATGTTGAAAGGAAGACACTTGAGGACTGAGATACTATTTTTTCCTAGATTCACATGTTTTCAGGAAGAATGTTTACTGTCAATATGAGCATGCATTTGACTTACATCCAGACAGCTAAAAATCACTTAACACATTCCAGGTGGCTTGTACAACTGGAGCTAGAAGTGTTAGAGTCGTGCATGTATCATCGGTTGTTCAAGCTGCCCGGCAGTGAAATATACAAATTACAGCCCCATTGTGAATGTATTAATAGAGAAAAATGAGACCTGTCCCCACTTTGGATGAATAACTGGAGAGTGTACATTAGGTTAGCATTAAATATGAATGATAGTCTTTTCCTTTTTAATGACTTTGTTAGTCCTTTTTTAGTCTTCCTATATAGTGAGGCTCTTTTGCATTTTTTTGGATTTTTTTTTTTTTTTTTTTTTGTGGTGCTGGGGATTATTCTTTTGTCAAAATAAAACACTGGTGTGTCTTATTTCCCTGGTAAGCCTGAGGCAGCTAAGGAACAAATTAGAGATGATGTAGCTTATTTTATATTGTGAACAGTAAAGAGTTATGTACTGTCAGCATATATTGCAGAAAAGCATGGATTTGATCCATTCCCTGAAGTAGCAAAACTACAACAGATTACAAGCTGCTGAGTAAAGTGGCATATATACTCCTTTACCTTAGGCATCCACATGCTAATTATAATATTCATTAGGTTGAACCTTATAAAATTTCCATTTAAATAGCCTAAAAAACATGAAATATTCTCAATTTCATATTTTACCACAGTGCTATCAAACACAGACATAATAAAAGCTACATATAGTTTAAATTTTTTTTCGTACAAAGTCTTGAGATCCAGCATGTATTTATACTTAGGACAGACCAAATCAGGTAAGTTACATTTTGACTTTTGATTGATAGCCATGTGTAGTAAGTGGCCAGTGTGCCTTCAGTCTGAATATCACACTGTTCAGTAGTAATCTCTTAAGTTCCTTAGGGCTGCCACTGCCATCCATCCACACAGCTTTATTTCAACCAAATGTGTGAGCCACAGAGCCATTAAAGTCTGCGTATGAGCTTGGTTTAATATTTCAAAGCTGTACGTTTATTCTTGAGTCAGACAAGTGTAATTTTGGAAGTGAAATCAAGTATATGCTCATTATTTAGTTCATAAAATATTAGTATAAATTTTTTCAAACACATGGATCCGCTGAGTCACCAGCGCTGTGAGGTAACTGAATATAAACCTTCACTGTACTTAGTAGTGGGAACAGTTTGTAGCAGTGCTTTCCAGTCGTCTTACCTCTCTCATACCTGACATACGCCTACATTGTGACAGTTTAGTGTCTGTTGATTGAGAAAACAGTGATGACAGACTTCTGTGAATTCAGAAGACTTTTACTAATTATAATAGCATCTATATGTACTCTGGGAAACTGGGGAAGGAGGATCCCAACTCTGAGCCAAGCTTGAACAATTTAGCAAGAACTAAAAAGAGAGTGGGGTGGTAGCTCAGTGCAGGGGCCCTGGTTGCTCCTGGTTGCTCGCTTGGCAAAGATGCCAGTCACCCCCAACGTGCAGCTGTACTGTTTTGCACATCAGCTTCCTTAAACCGAGGAGGAGAGAATTGTTCTATTGGAAGAAAGTAAAAAAAAAAAAAAACAAAAAACAAAAAAAACCCTGGTATTTAACCTAACTTCAGAAGATCTCCTTACAAGAAAAAGTTTCCAAGTACTCCCAGATCAGCACTAAAACTGCTGATGAGACCATCAGCCCAAAGAGTGCTGTATTAGTCATGGTATACATTCATCTGTAGGATAAACATTACATTTGGAACTGAGCTCTAGAAAACAGACTTTTACTAATTATGTATATTCTTCAGATGGTGGCTAGCCCTACAGTAAGGGGGCTGACACAACAGGCAGTCATACATGCCCATATTCTCCTCATTCAGCTGTAATATTCTTACTGTGAGGGAGCAAAGTTACATTTTCATTAATGATGCCTGAAGGCAGTGCCTGACAGGCTCAAGTCATTTCACAGCTACATCAGTTGGAATTCTACCATATTCATGAGTAAAGTCTACTAATGAACAACATAATAACCAGCAAAATTTGAAGATTCAGCAACACAGTAGCTATCCACATTCTCAGTCCTACCTAGACATACAACTTCCATCAAACATAGAAGAAATCATAAAATGCAGCAGTGAGCTTGTCAAACAAGGTCAAAGGAATGGCTTCATATTCTTTAGATAAAAAAGCACTTATTTACATGAGAGAGAATATACAGAATTTGCCAGAAAAATGTATACACACTTCAGGAAAAGAAAATTATATGGTAATTTTTCAACAGATGGTGTTATCCTCATGATCTTGCATACATGTGAGAGAAGTGTAATGGAAGAGTCTATAGAGAATGCTTTTTGGCAGTAGGTTAGTCAGATCTATTTCACTGCTGCCATATTATTTTGGTTTACCAAGTTTTAATTGTAGAGTGAAAGGTAACCATTGATGTTTGCTTTTTTATGTGTTTTAGATCTTTGTTAATTATACTTCATACATTTGTGGGATAGCATTCATGGTTTCTAGTTGGCCTTTTCAAAAATTTTATCTCCTGTGTGGAAAGGTTTTAAGTCTTACAACCCTCAGCCATAGTCACTACCACCACCTTGATCTCAGGAAGAGGTGACCTCCAGCCTTGAAATTTGTTTGCTATCAACAGGATTGGCAGAGGCAATCAGGGTCCAGATTATTTTGCTGAGAGGAAGTAGGGTGTGTGTGTGTCTGTCTGTCTGTCTGAGTTGCGTTTAAAATAACCAGAAATCAATTGCTTATTTTAATAAGTATACTAAAATGAATTCTTAAGCAAAATAAATGTACCCATGAGTAGGTGAACTCTTATATGTATTGTTAGTGTTAAATGATCTTATAATTAGTGCTTGACTGTTTATTTCCGTAGGCAAGAAATTATAGAGCAGCTTCTATCAAATATTTTCCACAAGGAGAAAAACGAATCAGCTATAGTCAGTGCAATCCAGATTTTGTTGACTTTACTTGAGACACGACGACCAACGTAAGCTTTCCTTTTATTTTGTAAAACAATCCATGCTGTTTTTCTTACAGGTTTTTTTTTTTTTTTTTTAAAGCTAAGAGTTAAAACAACTTTACTAGTACCAACTCCCCAAATTCCTGCTACATTGCTGGTTTGTTTAATCTTGGGTCAATAATAATGGGAGGACTGTTTGTTGGCACTGCTTTAAATATGTTGTAATTTGGAAATTGTGTCTATAATTTTGTATGTCTTCCTTAGTCCTCACTAAATCATATTTTAAATAAGTTCAGCAATTTAAGTTGTTGAATACGTGTATGAGTATCTTGATGGTTTTGCTTCAAAGCCATTGCAGTTACTATTACTTGCAAGGTTTGAAAACATGTTGGGCAGGCCTGTAGGCTTATTTGGACTACTGTGATTTAAGAAAGAAATCTGAGAAAAAGCATAAGGTTTTACATATGAAAGAAAAAAACGACATAATTATACAACCTAATCAGAGAGGACAATTTTTTACAAAGATGAATAGAGGGAAGTTTCTGGCAAGAATTTTTACTCTCAAACCAGAAAGGTTTATAAAATAACCAAGCAAGATTAAATATTTAAGTCTCAAATTTTAGCTTTATCCTGAAAAGATTTCAGAATCCCAGGTGTAAAGAATAAATCTAAAAAAGTATCCAGATACTAAAAGTGGGCCATTTATGAAGCCGGTCAGATTGCTAGGTATCTCGTTTGTAAAATTAATTATGGGAAAGCAGAGAGCAAGGTTGTGAGCCTGGAAACATTCTTGATTTATGGGAGCAAAAAAGGCATTTCGGAGCACATGAGAAGTTAGTGTTCTATGTTGGACAGTTTCTGGGTTGCAGTTATTTACCAAAGCCAAATGGAAAAATATGTAAGAATAAAGAACTTAAGGAAATATATTGGTAAGTTACAATAAGAAACAGACAGGGATGTCAGAATGGTATTTAAGTGTTAAGAATAAATAATTGAAATAAGTTAAATGTTAAAAAAATGAAGTGAACTCCAAGTTATTTTAACAAAGCTCAAAAAATAAGAAGGGGCAAATTAGTGCGTAGTGCAATTATCTTAAAGTAGCAACTGAGGTACATTCTCACACACAGTTTTTTTTTATCATCATGCTAAAATTATAGCTCAGATTTTTAAAGTAAGAGTATTGGAGCCAGGCGTGTTGGCGCACGCTTGTAATTGCAGCACTCAGGAGGCTAAGGCAGGATGATCACTGTGAGTTTGAGGCCAGCCTTGGCTACAGAGTGGGTTCAAGGCCAGTCTGGACTGCACAGTGAAACCCTGTCTCAAAAAGACAGTGTGGTGGAGTAATAGTCGGTTATTTAATTCCTAGAATATTTGAGAGGGCAAAGGGAATGAAGAAGCCCTGAAAGCCATGGACACCAGGGTGATTTGCATACCCTTGCACTTTGTCTGAAACACTTAGTGATAAGGCAAGAAAGAAAGTTCCTGCTGTAGTGTAAGCCTCACCAGTGCAGAGGCAACCTTTGGGATTGCACAGCATCCCTCCAAGAGTACTGAATAAAATTCCTAAGCCTCTGAGATAAGGGAAGCAAACTCTTTGAGACATAGCAAAGATGCTGTAGTGGGAGGAAGGGACCAGCAAAAACCTGCTGTAGCCTGTGGAAAAGGCTGGAACACATTCCAAGCTCAGGACACTAAGATTGAGACTAAACCAAGACAGCAGAGCCATTTCCCCCTACCCTGTACCTCTACCAGGCCTCCAGGTATCAAGAAACAAGTAATAGGTTGCTGCTGGAAGAAAGATCAGTACATGGAAGGAGAGTCTCCCGGGTACGTGACAAAAGCTTAAAGGGAACATCTTAAGCCAACAGTGGAATGAACACCGGGAAAAACTTGGCACACTGGTCCTAACTAAATCCACAGTAACTGGACAGATTTGAAGTCTTCAGTGCGCTGAAGGAAATCATACTGACATTTCCAAATGTGCTCATGACTAGATTGATTCAAATCCCCAGTAACTAAATGCTTAGGAAAAAAGAGATGCATCCATTCTTACATAAATACTGTGTGCATTACTTTCTGTTCTTCTGTACAAGCTGTCCACCTATCAACCAGAAATTATAGACATAAAAAATAAGGCGGGAAGAACCAAATAAATCCCAAGCAATAATATAACTCAACTCAAAAATGCTAGAATTACCAAGTGTAGTGGTGCATGTCTATAATTTCAGCACTCAGGAGGCTGACACAGGAAGACTGCCATGAATTTGAGGCTATCCTGAACTATGTAGGGAGATCCTGTCTCAAAATACCGGAAAAAAAAAAAGTTAAAACTGTTAGGAGATTTAATGTAAATATGATTGTCGTGTTAAAGACTTGTGGAACAAATGGGCAGTATACAGAAAGAGGGCACATTTTTAGCAAAGAGATCACATAGAAATGAAAAACAGCACAAATGAAGAAAGTCTCTGGGCTTATGGATAAATTTTGACATAACTGAGAAAATCAACAACATAGGATATTAGAGGTTACCTGTAACAAAATACAAAGAGTTAAATAAAAAAAGTAGTTGCTTGTAAGCTGAGAGGACCCAAAAGTAATGTTAAAGCACCAGGAACAAATACCCTCTACCCAAATCTTGGTTTGTGATACCATTTATAGTGGTACTAGATGAAAGGAACCAAGGGTCCTTTGAGAAATTGGTAGGACACAAAACATACAAGTCTGGAATATTTTAGTAGGGCCAGAAATTAAGGAAATGCTCAGATTATACACACAAATACAAACGATGGCACCTGTCAAAGGGACACTAGAGCCAATAGGAAGAGCTTCCTATGACCAAAGCTGAGATAGTTCGCATAACAAAATAAATTAGTATTGTAGCCAATATTATAAAATATACATGCATAAGTCCATAGTGATATAAGTAGATGATTGAAAGAATAGAGAAAATATCTGTCATGTAGAATTCCAAATAGATCATGTAGATGCTGCATTCTTGAGGGGCTAAAATATAGCTCCCCACCTTTTAGGTGTGGTTTACCTTTAGTGACATCCTTCTAAACAGCACAGTATGGGAAAAAAGAATAAGAAGAGTAACTTCTCAATGGAGAAACCTGACACACTGTGTCAGCCAGGTAATTAGTCAACAGCAGTGATAAGGCCATGTCCATAGTGCATGCCTTTGATACAGTATATTAGAGATGGCACTTTAGCCCTGTGGTCTTTTTCCAAAGACCTCAAACCATCAGCAAAAACACCATCATGCCCCACTGGAAGGATGTCTTGCAAAATACCTGACCAGACCAGTACTCAGCTGTAAGGTAATCCAAAAAAAAAAAAGTCTGTCACACTTAAAAAGAAGCTAAAAAGACATGACAGCTAACTATGATGTGATATCTTTGATGGGACTCTGGATCAGAGAAAATCCATTAGGTAAAAATTAATGAAAATCTGAATAAATTATGAATTGTATGTGTCCATAGTGGTTTGATTTATTATGACAAAAATACGACACTAACGTAAGGTATTAATAGTGGAAACTGGGTGTGGGTTAATGAGGACTCTGTACTATCTTTGTCATTTTTCTGTATATAAAATAAAACAGAAGTCAGCAGAACATTTAGGCAGAAAATCTTAAGAATACAAACATCTTGAACAATACTACCAATCAACTCAGAACACTTGTAGAACGTTTCCTGAGGAATAGCAAGATATTCTTTTGAAGTACACATGAAATTTTTACAACTATCCTAGTTTGTGCTGCTATAATAGATTACCACAGATTGGGGGGCTTAAATAACACACGTTCAGTCTATAGACTAAGAAGCCTAAGATCAAGGAACTGGCAGATCCAGTAACTGGCAGATCCAGTGGTTGGTGCAGTTTGCGAGTGGCTGCCTTCTTACAGTATCTTCACATGGCAGAGAAGAAGCAAACACTGTTCTCTTCTTATAAGGGAACTAATCCCATTCATGAGGACTCAGTATGTGACCTAATTAATTACCTCCCAAAAGTTCTACTTCTTAATACCTTCATGTTAGAGGTTAAAATGTCAACATAAGATTTTTGAGGAGCTTGCAGCACAGTTCCCCCCACCCCACGTGAGAGAGCAGACTAACCTCACTACTACCACCACCACCACATACATGAGAAAACAGCAGACCCCTCACTGCCATGGGAGAGACTAGACCTGAGACCCAGGTGTAGTGCCTCACCTCCAGGGGAACACAGCATGGGGCAGCAGAGACAAAAACTAACCATCCAGCCAGGTCCTGGACAGATACAACGTTTAGGGAGAGAGGGAGCAAGCATACCCCATAACTGTCAACATTAAGTCCAGTAGCCCACTTGAACCTATGCTTTGCAGTCTTTTTCCAGCAGAGAACAAATTTATATTGTTACTGTTTTTCCAGGACCTTGAGGTGCAACATTAGGTTATTCATAGGTGTTCATAATTATCTCTTTCTGTTGAATTGTTCTCTTAACCAATGTATAGTGACCTTCATTGATTTTTCTAAATCAGTTGTGGCTTGAAGTTCACTTTACTTGAAATTAGGATAGCTATTCATGTTTTTTTCCAGGGTTCCAGTTGAATGGAATTTTTTTGCAGTCCTTTGATTTTTTAATCTGTTAATCTGTGAATTTGTTTTTGGATCATATGTGTTTCTTATATATAGCATGTCATTGGGCTTTGTTGATCCATTTTGTAGCCTATGTCTTTGGGGTTGGGAATTGAGATTGTTTGCATAAAGAGTTACTACTGAAAGGTCTTAACTTACTCCTGTCAAAATATCATTTTCCTGGGGGATATAGCCCAGCGGCACAAGCACGAGATCCTGAGCTTGATTCCTGGTACCAAAAAAAAAAAATATATA